CCACAATGACACACAGAGCATCCCACCCCGACCTATTCCCCTAACCCGCACATCCCTGAACACTACGGGCAATTTAGCATGGCCAATCCACCCTAATCTGCACATCTTTGGACTGTGGGAGGAAACTGGAGCACCCGGAGGAAATCCACGCAGACACGGGGAGAATGTGCAAACCATCTCTGAATCTCCCACTATCAACTTACTGGGGGTTATCATTGACCAGAAAATGAACTGGACTAGTCTCATAAATACAGCGGCTGCAAGAGCAGGTCAGAGACTCAGCTCCTGATTCCACTTCCTGATTCTACACTGAGTCTCGAAACAAGTGAACCACACGCATTTCCCACAGACTCACTGATGAGGAATTGGAAGCAGGTGCTCTAACTGATTCCTCCCTTCCGTTGTCTGTGCAGAGCTGGGATCAATTATTGTGTCCCAAATACTGGCCCCTCAGCTACGTCAGTACAAATTCAAGCTGGGAATGTTACGGTCTGCCTGGTACAGTTATTCACTGACCAAACAAACTGAGCCATCGGGGAGGCTTTACCATTTACTGCTGCAGTGCTCTGGGATAATTGACATGTTCAGTCAAGGGTCACGGTGGTTTACAGAGAGATTAAAGGGGTGGTCATGGAAAAAGCCAAGCAAGACAGCTCCGAGAAACACAGCTGGAGATCCTGGCTTTTCCACTGCTGCCTGCAAAGCTCAGTGACAGGCTGAACATACAGGAATGACTTATCACTACCACCGAGGCAAAGTCCACTTAGCACCAATGGCTTACCCAGGAGATTAAGCAGCGACAGAAAACTGTATTGGCAATGCAAAGTACAGGGTGAAGATAAACAATAAAAGCTCTCTACGGTGCTGAGGTTGGGGGATGCGAGTGAGAGGCAAGCAGATTTTCACTGTGGTCTGATCTGGGACCTCAGGATATTCTAGATAACACAGCATGGAGCTAGCTGGAGGAACACAGCAGGCTAGGCAGCATCAGAGGAGCAGGAAAGTTGACGTTTCAGGTTGGAAATTTCTGAAGAAGGGTCCCGACCTGAAAGGTCAACTTTCCTGCTCCTCTGATGCTGCCTGGCCTGCTGTGTTCATCCAGCTCCGTGCTGTGTTATCCCTGCCTCCAGCATCTGTAGTTCTTGCTATCCCTCAGGATTTTCTAGTTTGTTTTTTTTTTATTCATTCATGGGATGAGGACATTGCTGGCCAGGCAGCATCTATTGCCCATCCCTAATTGCCCAGAGGGGCAGTTAAGAGTTGACCACATTGCTGTGGGTCTGGAGTCACATGTACACCCAGACCAGGATAAGGACAGCAGTTTCCTGCCCTAAAGGACGTTAGTGAACCAGATAGGGTTTTTCGACAATCGACAATCGACAATCGACAATGGATTGACAGTCATCATTAGATTGTTAATTCCAGATATTTTATTGAATTCAAATTCCAACAACTGCCGTGGCGGGATTTGAACCTGGGTCCCCAGAATATTATCCAGGTCTCTGGATTAACAGTCCAGTGATAATACCACTAGGCCATTGCCTCCCCAATTGGTGCAACTGGTCCAGGGCCTTTTTTTCCCTGGAGTGTCGAAGGCTAAGTGGTGACCTTCACAGCAAACTGAGGCTGAAGGTGTCTGGGAGGGGTCTGTCTGTCAATGCCATAAAATTTGATCTCCTTCTGCCCACCATTGAAAACCAATCTCTGGAATTCCCTGTCTTGAACTTGCACCTAAATCTTTCATGCCTACTGAAAACTTCGATCAAGGCTTTTGGCCACTCTCCTGATACCTCCTCACGTGGCCCCTCAGAAAATCCTGGCTGATTTACACATATGTGAAGTGCTCTAAGCCATTTAGCTGCATTGAAGAGGCTCTGTAAATACAAGTTGCTGCAATGCTGTTTTGATGAAGAGTCCGCAGCAAAGAAAGTGCGTAGAAGTTCCTGCACAGATGCTGCCTGACCTGAATTACATTCCTCCGCTCCTTCTGCCCTCTCTCTTTCCAGTTTTCAGCATCTCCCAGGGTTTGCTGATATTCATTATCTGGGCTTTGGTATCCAAAGGGAGCGAGAGGGTTTAACTGGGCTGGTGCTGCTAGGGCTAAGCCAGCTTTGGAAAGCAGGTCTGGTTATAGATTGACATCAGTTATTTTCAACCTTCAGTTTTTGGGTCTGTGCACACTCCAGTACACTGCCTCTCCTGCTTGGTCTCCATCTCCCTATGTTGTTTGCTTTACCTGTTTAAAGAAAACAGCAAAACCGAAATCCATCTTGATGTTGCCCCTTGGCATTACCACTGGGCACATAAAGCAGTAAATGCTTTATCAGCTACCCCCGGGACAAGATATAAATGGTGTTGGTGATGCTATATTCCAGCAACGAGCGCCAGCTCCAACTGGGATTATCTATTCCTGTCTACTGACGGCACGGTGGTTCAGTGGTTAGCAATGCTGCCCCGGGGACCTGGGTTCGATTCCACCCTCGGGTGACTGTCTGTGTGGCGTTTGCGCATTCTCCCCGTGTCTGCGTGGGTTTCCTCCGGGTGCTCCGGTTTCCTCCCACAGTCCAAAGATGTGCAGGTTAGGGTGGATTGACCATGGGAAATTGCCCATAGTGCTCAGGGATGTGCAGGTTAGGGTGGATTGACCGTGGGAAATTGCCCATTGTGCTCAGGGATGTGCAGGTTAGGTGGGTTATAGGGGGATAGGTCTGGGTTGGGTGCTCTGAGGATCAGTGTGGACTTGTTGGGCCAAAGGGCCTGTTTCCGCACTGTAGGGATTCTATGAAATCTGTGAAAATTTATTGTCACGTGTATATTGCAGTTAAACACACTGAAATACAGTGAAAAGCTTTCATTTGACGCCACAATCCAGCGCCACTTTGATAGTTTAAGAATAAGAGAAAAAGAAATGGATTTAAGAGAGGTTTATCTAGCTCTGAGCTGGCTGAGAACCAGCACCGCTTCGCCAGACCCAACAAACATTGATCCTCTGGCAGTACCTTTCGCTGTTGGTCTGGTTCACCTTCGCTGCTGCCTGACACACCAACATCGGAGACTATCGTCCTGGTCCATATTGTTGTGGTGCCTTCTCACCACTGCTTTGCTGGCAGCGCTGGACCCAGCCAATGAGAAAGTCCTTTCACTGATCCTTCTTTGCCAATTGTTTAGATCTATGATCACTGTCTACTTGACCAAGCTTTTGGTCCCAACTCCTAATCTCTCCTTGTGCGGCTCTTAATGACTTGGTAACCCTCCTGTGTAGCGCCTTGGGGTTATGTGCTGGGTAAATGCCAGGCTGCTGTTATTGTTGCATGTGGCCACAAGTGTGGCTTACCGAGCAAAGAACTGCAGGTTCTGGAGACCTGAAATCAGACCAGAAAGCGCAGGGAAACCCAGCAGGTCTGGCAGCATCAATGTTTCGAGTCTGCTGTGAATTGTGTTGAAGAGTTAACTCAGTTTTGGTCGACCCTCAGATGCTGGTGAGTTTCTATTTTAATCACCTTCAAAAACATCGCTCTGATGTCAAACACCGGCATAAAGAGGAAAAGTATTTCACCTGCCTACATCCCCTGTTATTCTTCTGATTGATGAGCAAAGATAAAAACAAAATTGAGTTCAGAAGGATTTCAATCAAAACAACTGTTTCCTCCTTTGTTGAAAATATTCACAATGGCAGTTAAACAGCTCCATTAGATAAAGTATGGAAGTGAAGATTAAACAGTGTAATCAGACACTGCAGTGTGAAGGCTGTAAACCTTTAACAGTTATTACCACAGCCCAGAAGCTGCTTTGTGCCACTAATTAGCTCCCAACTGAGGCTAAATATACCCTGCAAATTATCTCCAGCCACCTTTTCCACACTGTAATGGTTTGATTGTCTTGCTGTTTGTGAACACCTTAACTGTTAAGTGTTGAGGATCCAGGGTCTGCCTACTGAAGAGCACATTAACATTTTCATATCCCTGGCCATGCATGGTTGGTTACACTGTTCCTTCTGTTCTGGGGATCAAGCTCAAACCCAGTCTTAAACAGTGTGAACAAACTGGCTGTGGCAAGAGTTTGGACAGATTTAACATAGGCATGACTAGTTATGAGTCCATCCTGACAAAATCAAAGCAAAATAATGTGGAAATGTAGGATAATGTCACAAAACCTGAATCGAGGCAATAAAGGGGCAGTTTAAAAGCTTAAACAAACCAAGTGCAACAAAAAAGGGCAATAAGATCATTGGGAATAAATATGAATGGGAAAATCTATAACTTATACCACAGTTATGGCAGGAAGATTTTATTAAGGGTGCAAATTTTATTTGGAAAGAGTGGCTCAGTGGTTAGCACTGCTGCCTCACAGCACCAGGGACCCGGGTTCAATTCCACCCTTGGGTGACTGTCTGTGGAATTTGTACATTCTCTCCGTGTCTGCGTGGGTTTCCTCCGGGTGCTCCGGTTTCCTCCCACAGTCCAAGATGTGCAAGTTAGGATGGGTTGGCCATGCTAAATTGCCCGTAGAGTCCAGGGGTGTGCAGGCTTAGGTGGATTAGCCATGGGGAATGCAGGGTTACAGGGATAAGGTAGGGATGGTGGGTCTGGATCAGATGCTCTTTGGAGGACTTAACGGGCCGACTGGCCTCCTTCCACACTGCAGGGATTCTATGAAATTACTGGACTACAGGGGAAATAAGATTGACTGGATTGCTTGACTGAGAGCCAGCGTGTGTTTAATGGGCTCCTTCTCTGTCACAAATAAAAATGGGAAGGAGATTGGAAGTGAAAAACCGATGGACGTTAGCGTAGAGCCAAGAATCGCAATCTGGAACAGAATAGGAAATGTTTGACAAAACATCTCTCCCAAGGAGTTATTATGAAATCCTGAACCCAGCCTCATGTTGATATTATGGTAAAGTTCATAGTCATCACCACCTTGCCTCAGTTTACACTTCCTGTGTCCATAAGGTATGAGTGAATATCAACAAATCCATTTAAAAAAGAAACATCTCAAAATTAATTTCATGAGAATTATTTTATCACTACAGAATCAACTACAATGATATCAAACTCAAACATCCATCAATGCATAGCCAAAGGTGCATTCAGACTATGAGGATAACCCATCAAAGCACAACTTATTCTTTTTAGACAACAGCAGTGGAAGAATCAGTTATCTGTCTGCTTCAGAGGAGAGAGTTCCACTAAATTATGGTGGGGAGAATGATATTATTAGCACTGTTAAGGTTGCATTTGAAGCTTACCTGCTGGCTTCCATCTCTCTGCCTGCTGTCAACTGCAGTCTGTGCCCACTATTAACTATCAGTTGGCAGTCATTACAATCGGTAACGAGGCTTCAGTCTAGACCAGAGATAGTAGGAATTGCCGATGCTGGAGTCTGAGATAACAAGGTGTAGAGCTGGATGAACACAGGAGGCCAGGCAGCATCAGAGGAGCACAAAAGCTGATGTTTCGGGTCGGGACCCTCCTTCAGAAACGTCAGCTTTCCTGCTCCTCTGATGCTGCCTGGCCTGCTGTGTTCATCCAGCTCTACACCTTGTTATTTCAGTCGAGACCATCCTTTCTCAAGTTCGCATGGCGGGCAAGACAGAGTGACACAGAGAACAATGGACGCAGAGAGAAGAGTTACAGAGAGAATAATTGCTTGGTGAAGAGATAGTGGGCTGGAGCTAGATAAGGAAGAAGACATATGAGGTAAGACTGGATCAACTGGGCTTGTACTTGTTGGAATTTAGAAGAATGGGAGGGGGATATTATAGAAACATATAAAATCTTGATGGGATTGAACAGGCTAAATGCAGGAAGTATGCTCCCAATGTTGGGGAAATCCAGAACTAGGGATCGCAGTCTAAGAATGGGGACCAAGGTGAGGAAGAATTTCTTCACTCAGAGAGTTGTGAGCCTGTGGAATTCTCTCCCACAGGAAGCTGTTGGGGCCAGTTTGTTAGGTATATTCAAGAGGGAGTGTGACGTGGCCCTTGCAGCTAAAGGGATGAAGGGATAATGAGAGAAAGCGGGAATGGGATACTGAGATTGCATGAGCAGCCATGATCATATTGAATGGTGGTGCAGGCTCGAAGGGCCGAATGGCCTACTCCTACACCTATTTTCTATGTTTCTAAGAGGCAAGTGGGTGGAAGTTACCAAGTGGGTAACTGGCAGTGGGAGACAGTAACGTTATCAATGGGATATTACTGGCAAGAATTGAGAGATGGGAAAGACAACAGAGAGTTACATATGGGGAATTAAAGCATTCTCTATCAGAAGACATAAGCAGGAGAAAATCATTAGCAAAACAAAATACAGAGTACAAAGTTAGCATATTTAATGATTTTCTGTGACCATTGTACTGACTTCAGTTGTGGATGTTCTATATAATCCAGAATTTATTGCTTTGTTGCTTATAATTTTCATGCCACATCGAATTTCCAGCTTGTAGATCAAGTCTTGGCAGAAATGAATTAGAATGGGAGCCGTGAGGAATAGATTTCTTGCAGTGTCTTCAGTTCCAGTGTTCCTCTTGTAATAAGGGCTTCATCCTTCAATGATGCTGTTCTTAAGGCAGGCTCTAGGATTTGGCACCTAATCCATCAAAGACACAAGCTAAATGTTAATGAATGTAGCGGGCGTTGACAATTGGGAATGGGCAGAGTAGGTTAATCTAACGGCAACGGCTTCTCTCTTCAATTTTTCAAAGAGATATGAATGTGCTGATGGGGAGGGCGCAACATTTGTCACACTCCAAGCACATCAAATACATCTAGAATGATGCTAAGCTTCGATATTTATTGCGTGGGTAACTGCACACCTTGAGAAGCAGTGAATTTCCTGTAGCACTGGCAGGCTTCCATCCACTTGCCTTACTTGTGGCTCTGTACCAGGGGCACAGGTAATATGCTACACTGGCCACCTACCTGTGAATACAGGCTTAACTGAAGGCCTGCCTGCCTTCTGTTTGCCAGCTGGATCCTGGCTGAAATGAACTGGGTGAACAGCACAAAAATTGTACTGCCTTGCGTTGCGGAGTTGGGGGAGTACTTGTGGATTCAGAGGCAGGAAGTTAGAATTTAGAAGTTTTTAAAATGCTAGGTCGGTGGGGGGGGTGTTGCGGTAAATCATTGCATGATCCCTTTAGAAGATGATGTGCTTTCTCTATGCTTAGAGATTTAAATGGATGTCTGTGAGCAGTAGCTTGAAAGTTTGCAGAGAGCACCCGAATTGAAACATTTGTACCAAAAGGCCTGTATAGTTAGCAGGCCAAGCAGCAGTTTTTACCAAGATAACAAGTTTTTGAATTTAGCCAATCAATTTGAACCAGGCACTTAGAGACCAAAAACCAATTTAATTTAAATCTGATGGTTTTGACAACATAGGACCAATCCTATTGTAAGAAATTTATATGTCATCAAAGGTATAAAAGGAAGGGGGCAGTTGGACAAAACCCCCGAGCTAACTGCCATCTGCCAGAGCTAACAGGCCTCAGCTCTCAAAAGAGAATTGCTGGCTCTCACAGCCTCCTCTGTGTCTTAGAGAAAGTACCATCTAAAGAACAAAGGTACCCAAGGCACAACTTGTTAGTATTTCTGACAGAATAATTGACAGAGAAGGCATTCTTGACAGAAAACTCGATGGAGAAGGTATAGATACATCACCTGGCTGTAATTTTGAGAAACTAAATTTTTTTTTTATTTACATAAGTGGGACTTGTATTTATTGGAACAGCATACCATTAGAATCTTGCTTTATTCGGGAATAGCTAGTCGTTAGAAGGGGTTTACTTGGTTCGTTAATAGTTTAGTTAAATTTTTCACTGTTAGAATTAGATAAATAAATTGTTACTTGTTGATTTTAAAGTGTGTGTCACGGATTTATTTTTATTTAACCACTAGAAGTTCCTGAAAGGCAGGTTACACCACTCTTCATACTCTTTTTACAGATTATAGGGTGAGGTGATCCTCTTTAGGTGTTTTGGTTTTAATTCTCAGAGGGGGATCAATCTCCATTTCCTAACACTTTGAAATTTTACTGGCTCACTCACAGTCAGTCAGGATAGTTGCCTGAGTTGAAGTATAGGATTAGTGGGGAATAAAATTAGGAACTGACTCTTGAGTTAGAACTAACAGATCAATTAAGAACAGGAAAAGGCCATTCGGCCCCTTGAACTTCCTCTGGCATTAAATAAGGTCCTGACATATATACTTAATGGTAAGGTCCTGGAGAGTGTTGCTGAACAAAAAGACCTTGGGGTGCAGGTTCATAGTTCCTTGAAAGTGGAGTCACAGGTAGATAGGATGGTGAAGAAGGCGTTTGGTACACTTGCCTTTATTGGTCAGTGCATTGAGTATAGGAGTAGGGAGGGTCATGTTGCGGCTGTACAGGACATTTGTTAGGCCACTTTTCTTTATTCATTAACGGGATGAAGGTGTCGCTGGCTAGGCAGCATTTAATGCCCACCCCTAATTGCCCAGAAGGCAGTTAAAAGTCAACCACATTGCTGTGGTCTGGAGTCACATGTAGGCCCAGACCAGTATAGGATGGCAATTTCCTTCCCTAAAGGACATTAGTGAACCAGATGGGTTTTTCTGACAATTGGCAATGGATTCACGGTCATCATTAGACTCTTAATTCCAGATTTTTATTGAATTCAAATTCCACCATCTACCGTGGCAGTATTTGAACCTGGGTCCCAGGATATTACCTGGGTCTCTGGATTAACAGTCCAGCATTAATACCACTAGGCCATTACTAAGTTCTGAATTCCAGTCCCATATCCCTTTAAACCCTTCTATTCAAGCATCCATCCAGGTGCCTTTTAAATGTTGTAATTGTACCAGCCTCCAGCACTTCCTCTGGCAGCTCATTCCAAACTCGCACCACCCTCTGCGTGAAAATGTTGCCCCTTAATTCCCTTTTAAATCTCTCACCTATCACCTTAAACCTATGCTGTGTAGTTTTGGACTCCCCTACCCTGGGGAAAAGACCTTGTCTATTCACCTTATCCACGCCTCACATGATTTTATAAACCCGTATAAGGTCACCCCTCAGCCTCTGACACTCCAGGGAAAATAGCCCCAGACCATTCAGCCTCTTCCTATAATTTAAACCCTCTAACCCCACCATGGTGGGATTGATTCCTAACGTTACTGATATGTTCAAGAGTGTCTACGGCAAGGATTTGGACTCCCAGTCAGTAGGTTTACAGAGTGTGTCGGGTGTGTTTCAGTTGTTCTGTTGTAATATGGTTGTCCTTGAACTGTCACAAGGTTACAGGGATGAGGTGGGGTCTGGGCGCGATGCCGTTTGGAAAGTCAGTGTGGATATGATGGGCCAAATGGCCTGCTTCCACACTGTAGGGATTCTAAGTTTTAAAGGGCCTCACATCACTCAAGATTGAAGGCCCCTCCCTCGCAGACTGAAAACTGAGCCCACTAATTCTGAGTCACAGCTGTGAGCTGTGAACTAGGCCCAAACTGAGGGAGCGCTAGGAGAACCCTGTGATGCTGTCTGGTCCAGTCTGTAGGCTGGGTACCTATCCCGGTGCACCCGGAGGGCGGCAATGGAAGGTGCCAGTCCTGCTCATTAATGAGAATCTTAACTCAAACCCAGTGCGTGGCACTGACAGGGGTTCCCAACCCCCTGCATTGTTCCTTGAAATGGAGTGACTAACTAGGGCCATTTCAGGGGGCAGTTGGTCTGGAGTCACATGTAGCCCAGACTGGATAAGGACAGTAGATTTCCTTCCCTAAAGGACAGGGGGGGGTTTCTACAACAATCAGTGGCTCCATCACTGAGAGCAGCTTTCAAGTCCAGATTTATTAACTCGACTACCTTGTCCCCACAGTACTAGCCTGGGCCTCTGGGTGATTAGTCCAGTGACTGTTCCAGCTACTCGCAGCAATGTAACTGATATTGCTCTGCAGTATCTTACAGTCAGTTTCCTGATAAGAAACATCAGGATTGAAGAGACCTGGTTTAGGATCACTTGACTCCAATATGAATGCACTCCACTGTGCATTGGTGAGATTAGCACTACCATCTCTTAGTGTTGATGACATGTCTTGAAAACACTTGCCAATTAATGTATTTACATTGCAAGGCACAGAAGCCTGAAGATCGAACCACTTCGAAGTTCTTGACAGACTCACAAAATCCTTACTAATTTAATGATAATATCCGAGTTTTGACACTGATTGTTAGCAGGCTAATCAATCCCAATCGCAACTCCAAATAAAGCTCTTAGATTATGAATTGGTGCAGAAAATGCAAATCATTTACTTCTCCTGACTGCAGGACTAGTGACCAATACAAACCAAGGGTTGACCGTGGTACCTTCCCTGATGTTTGGGCTCACTGGGTTAAACCCACGGTGCACTGACTGACAATACAAACATCCCACTGTGCAGGATTGCTAAGAATATTTATAAGCAGTTGCAAAGGCAGACCTGTATTTGGATAGCCCCTTATCCCGTCTTTAAATGGGCTTCTTTTGCACTGTTTAAAGTGCAGTCAACATTGTTGTAAAACTGGACCATATAAAGTGCACTTGGTACTAATGCTACTGGAGACAGCAAAATCCTTCTTAAGACGTGGTTTCCGATGCCACGGTAAGGCTGTAGATCAGCTATTAAGGTTTGGTATGGTTGGTGTTTGCATGGATGTGCTCAAAGATCAACAAAGATAGAGAGGGCTTTCTATCACGTCTTTAATAACCTTAGGACCGTGCAAACTGCACTCCAGCCAATGCTGTGCTTCTGAATTGTGGTCACCGTTGCAATGTGAGAAACACAGCAGATCATTCAAACACAGCAAGCCCCCCCACACAGCAGCAGTGGGTTAATGAGCACATGGTTGAAAGTTCATTATTGGCCATAATAAAAAAAGGACACAATGCTGGAGACATTTAGCAGGTTTGGAGAGAGAAACAGAGTTAACCATTTCAGCTCTGTGGCTTTTCAGCGAGTTTCTGATCATAGGCCTGCACGTTAAGTCTGTTCCTGTCTTCACAGATGCTACCAGCAACTGAGGTATTTTGCTTCTGTGTTACATAATGGCCAGGTCACTGGGGAGAAAGCTCTGCTCGTCTTTTACAAGTGGCTCTGGGAGTTTATTTTTCAGCTGTCCCTGAGAGGGCAGCGGGTTTCCTTATTTGAAAGACAGCAGCCATAGAAGCAGGTCATTCTGCCCATCAAGTCCACATCGAACCTCTGAAGAGCCAAACCACCTCCCCTACCCTATACCTGTATTTCCCATGGCTAGCTCACTTAGCCAGCACAACCCTGGAGGAAACCCATGCAGACACGGGGAGAACATGCAAACTCCACGCAGTCACCCGAGGGTGGAATCGAACCTGGGTCCCTAGTGCAGTGAGGCAGCAGTGCTAACCACTGAGCTACTGTGCCACCCTGGAAGGGTGGCTCTCCCTCAGCCTGAATAAAGTGCTCAATGTCTTGAACCCACCACCTTCCAACTCCAAGGTGAGGCAGGGTCACCACTGCTGACCCCTCACATCGAAAACTTCCAGGGAGTTGGAGCTTTGGGGGTGCAAGTCCTGGTTCTGGAGACTGTGTCCTGCAGTGGAAGAC